TTCTTAAACATAGAGGGTTATTTATTATTTTATTTTTTATATCAAAATTTTCATCCAAACTAATAAAAAAATTCTTAGATGAACGACTTAAATTTTATTGTATTCAAATCATGGATTGTAGAATGATATAAAATATCTATTAAAATTTTAATGATGGATTAGATAATGATAAAACGATTAAAATCTGTAAAATATATTGAAAATCAAACCTAAAATGTAAAGAAAAATTGAACTATTTTTTTTTCAGGACTTAGTCTTTAAGTCGATTGTATAAGTTTTTTTTTTTTTTTTTTTTTTTTCAATGTCCTTGGTTGTGAATTGTGCAAAAATGACTTCTACTGATCGTGCTAGCAATTTTTGGGACTTTCTGCAAGGAAATTTTACATCTGGAGTATAGCAATCAAGTGTACTAACTCACATCAACTATCTAGGCAAGAAAGAAAAAAACTCCCTGATCAATTAAAGATATATCCTGATGAGCTTCCTTTCTCTTGAAAGGAAAATTAAAATTCGAGCCATACTTATTAAAATGATCGAACTATTAACAGACAACAAACGTGCATGTTAGCAATCCATCAAATCGCGTTCCAGCCATGTTCTTCTCATCAGCGTTGGAAACACCAAAGGCCAATTAATTACAAATTGATAATCTCTCGAAATAAAAATTGAAAAGAAAGAAAAAACATTTTAATTGAAATTGACAGAGTTCAACACGTCTAGACCTTTCTTTCATAACGAACCCACTACGCCAAAACATTGTGGAGAGTGAATGCATCATGGTCATGGACTGTCCTGTTGCTGCACCTTCAAACCATGTGAGCTACGTCTCGCATTCATATGCACGCCTTTGACCAATTTTCATTGAAAAAATTCTTAATTCAGTAACCTAGTTTGACGGCCAAGATTTTCTGACCAAGCAACGATCCTCAAGCATTCCTTTGTGGAGCCCACTAAAACCGAGGTGACAAAATGCAAGATTATTTAAATTTTTATACTTTGAAACACCATAAAAAAAAAAAAAAAAACGAAGTGGGAACCAAGTCCAAATCCTACAGCAAATCAAAAACAAGATTTGTCAGGTCTTTTGGATTAATATATTAATTAACAAATTTAATTAAATTGACATGTTTTATCACGTTATATGAAAACATGCCTCGAGTGTCTCACGGAGAGATCTGCGGCGCCGTTGTGTACAATTAAAATCCAACGCCCCGCGCCTACATTCCAAATGTGAATGGGGCTTTCGAATTTGGCGCCAAATGGGTTTTTTAACAGTCAAAAAAGCAAAGACCCCAAAATATACGATGAATTCACTATCATGGGACCCAAATGACCGACTCTTTAGTTGTCATCCACGTGTCGCTTTCTGTTGCCCCTTGTACATGACCCTTTCGATGCTGCGAAAAGTCATGATACTATTTATCTCCTATTAATTGCCAACACTTTGAAATGGGAGATGATATTAGAACTTCAAAAATAGATTAATCAGTTTATCTCATATTTTGACAGACAAATAAGAAGCAGAAAAGTGGGATGATTACAGTATTGTTGAATTTTTTGAGGTATTTTCATCTCTATCTCTTTTACTGTGCTTTCTAAGTTACATTGTTTCACTCAAAGGTGACGTTGTAAGAATAAATGCATCCAATGGTTGTAAATATCAAACCATAAAATGAACTAGTGATTTTTATGATGAAAAAGAAAACAATTTAGTGGTCTTCGAACAGAAGCGCTTCGAAAATACCTTAAAACCTTAAAAAAAAAAAAAAAAACCGCTACTTTCTCGAATTACCCGCCCACTCAACCAGCGTAATATCCAAGTCAAAAATTTTAAAGACTGCCAAAAAAGAGTGGGCCAAGATTTCTTTCACCAATCTGGATATTTTCTCGTGAAGAATACGCCTACATGGAGCCAACCATTGCTCTTGCCGTCTGATATGGCGGGAATGCTACCCCCTTCCCGCCAAAATAAGAGAAAAAGGTTGAGGTCAGGCCATTTCTTTTTCCGGAGGAAAAAAAGAGTAACCGCCATAACCTGTCATTTCTAACGGACGCGTCATTTTGATGACAGGTTTAACGTCCACCGTTAATTTTCGGTTACTACTGCCACAGTTCAACCACCCCCAAGTTGTCACTAACTAATGTAGGGGGTAATCATTATACTTCCCTGCATAAAGTTTAACATTCGTACAGTTCTGTAATCTAACTTACTTTCTTACTTCAATCTGATCCATCTTCTTTCGTATTAAAGGGACAAACTTCACATTAATATATATATATATATATACACGCAATTTTAACGTCTCACCAACTATGCTCGTTTCCTTTTTTCTTTTTTTGACCGTAATAAAACTATACTATTTTTCTTTATGCATCAATCTTTATTTCTTTATGCATTGATCATGTCAAATTAATAAAACTCTGCTTGGACTTCATTTATAATTTATAATGCATTTTTTGAATCCTTTTACCCTAACTGTTATTAATTTATATAAAAAAATTATTATTAATTACATCGAATTTTTTATTTGTTAATATTCATTTTTTTGTAATTGATTTTTTTTTTAATTCAAAACCATAATTTAAAGATGAAACAGTGTATAGCTTTATGTTTAAAACTAAAGAAATATATAAAATATATATTTTTTTCATTTTATTTCGTTAATGAAGTTGGATTTGAACAGTCTAGTAAAATCGTAAATGAGAATCAAACCTACCATCACAAGTAAATAATCTTTACTTTTGGTTTATCTTGTAGTAATATATAATAATGAATAACGTTGAATCATTGACTAACTTAGAATTTTTTTGGATCTGTCTGTGTATACCTGTAATTTGATATATTTGGTTAGTTTGCGCTGTAATTTGGCTAGCCATTAACCTAAAATATGCTAGTTTTCAATCGGGAGGCGTAACCATTGCTAATTGTTAATAATTTACGGACCAGTTTTTTTATTGTTAGCAGTTAATGACTTTTTTGTAGGTGACGTGTAGGCAGTCGGTGAACCGAGACAACCGACCAACCGGCGAACGTGTTTCCTGACAGGCCTTCACTTGATAGACAGACCAGGCAGGGACCCATGTGGCATGGGTTAGGGACAGCATATAAGTTTGAGTTGACATTACTTGTATGTTCGAAACGTGTCATAGTTTAAACAAATTCAAAACCTAAAATGCTGCTGTTGTTGTAATGTGAAAAAACATAATGCGTCCGAAGGCGTGCCTCCATGACTGCATACGGTCTTATTCATGGCGCCGATTCATGCCCTGACCAATTAAATGCAACCACGTGAGATAACGTGCTTTTTGCCGTCAAAGTGACTCTTTTACCCTCCAACGCTGCTCCGTACAGTTAGGGTCCCGTACAGCTAGCTGGTTATACGGAATGGAGAAATGCAGACCGCACCCATCCGTGCGCAGTAGCTAGCAAGCGGGTATAATTTCAATTTCATGGATCATACTTCTGCTTTGGGATTTAATTTTGAGAATTTATTTCACACCCAAATTCTCTGTTACAATGTGGATGGATTTTTTACCAGATTATGAACATGGGGTAGACTTCGTTGTACATAAATGATCCAGCTACAATAAGCAAATTCAAGTACAGCCTTATTTAATACTCTTACAAACAAATACGGTAGCTTGTTGAATCTACTTTTGCTCTAAAGAGTGAATATTGTCGATATTAGTAAGAAATATTTACATCAGGAGTATCAAATAATGATGTTTAATGTCAAATGATTACACGGGATCTAAAAAGAATGTGCACTAGAATGATCTTGGTTTGATAGGTACATTTAACACCTCAATATACGAGGCGCTTTTTACAGAATAAAATTCTAAATTTATTTTATTAAAACAAAATATACAAAAACCCCCCCAAAAAAGAAAAGAAAAGCAAACCATGCAAATTCGGCCAAAACCATGACACTTAATAATGCTAAATTAAGATTAGTAAGATATTTTTCATATGATCATTAATTAGAATGACTAATTTGACCTTTTTTGGGATCCAATTTTAGAAGATATCACGAGCTCGTAAGTGGGGAATAAAGTTAGTTATAAGTAAGTGTAAAGATCAAAAGATCCACACCGAAAAATACAAAGGAACCGGCGAGAAAAAGTGACAGAAGAAAAGCCGATAGGAGCGGTATGTTGTCACGTGTGGACGTCATGATAATAGTCGGCAAATCTCAACTTAAAAACCAAGCCATCTCTCTCAAAAAAAAAAAAAAATGAGCTGCTACAAAAATTGCCACGTGGAATGCCCATTGCCCTTGATCTAGAAAATCAACAAACCTTCCACCCCTATCCCTTCCTATTGAGTCGAATGCACGCAAAGGACCATTAAAGTGCATACGTGTCATCCTGGCTGGACTTTTGAACAACCCTGATTGGGGATCAAGTGACAGGTGGCCAAAATTTGGCCCAGTGAGTGTAGAAGAGAATACTGCCTTTTACTTGTGTGCGAGAGAGGCGTTAGTCACGCCACGTGACTCGAGCCTTTCCTCACAGGCGTGGTTTCCATATGGTAATAAAAAGAAGAAGAAGAAAAAAAAACAAACAGTGCTATAATATTGAAAACGGAGAAAAGAAATTAAATTGGGAAATATAAATAGGAGAGAGGCATTGGGGGAGAGAGTTAAGACCAAGGCGTGCTTTGCGCTTGAAACAAGCAAAAGTAGTTAAGTGAGATAGAAAAAGAAGAAGGAAAAAATAGAAACTCTCTGGAGCCAGAGCAAGAGAGAGAGAAACAAGGCAACAAGTTTTAGTTTGGTGGGTTTAACGTCGATTTGATCGAAAGACGTAAGAGTTTTAAAGAATCTATCTTCTGTGTTTTTTCTCCAAGTTACGGATTTTGCCTTGCTGGGTCTTTGAGTTTCTCGTCGTTTATTGAGGCTTTTTAAAGGGAAAAGTGAAAACACATAGTGTTTAAAGAGACAGAGAAGACCTCTCTTAGCTTCTGTTTTCTGTTGGTTGAGAGAAGGGGAACTACAAAAATGGAGTGGAGTGCTTGTTTGGATGAATATGAGAAGCTTGTTATAAGGATGACCACTCCCAGGTTAGTTTCTTTTAAAACCTTCATGAGTTTGCTTTTTCCTATTTTTGATTTTCTTAACGTTTTTCTTGAGTGTTTTTTGTTGTTCTCGCCTTCTCGTTTGAATTTCATTGTTTGTCCTGCCACATTTTGTGATTTCTTCTTTTCGTTTCTCTTTTGATTTGTTACTTCCTTCTTGATTTTGTTCCCAATTTGGTGATCAATTGTATACAACCAACAATTTCATTGTTTGTCCTGCCACATTTTTTTGATTTCTTCTTTGATTTTCTCTTTTGATTTGTTACTTTCTTTTTGGTTTTGTTTCCAATTTGGTGATCAACTATGTAAAACCAACAATTTATTTGTTTTTTTGTTTGTGCTTGGTAAAACTGAAATTTTTGACACTGAAATCTTTACTTTCTATTTTTTTTTCCAGAAACTGGTTATCAAACCCGCATCATATATGGTCTAATTTCAAATCTCCTCTTTAAAATCCTTTCTTTTTAAAGTTTAATTTTCAAATTTGTTGTAATTTTTTAATAGTTATTTGACTTTGTCTCCTGAGTTTTTCTTCTCTCTAGAACATTAAAACCTCTCGTATAACTTATAAGACTTTTTCAATAATAATTCCTTAGGTTTGAAATTTAAACTCACATGTAAACGCAATTCCTCTCTGACTCGGACCTTTCTCTTTTTACAGAGTCGTCATCGACAATGCCGTTTGCCCCAAAGCGACTGTTGTCAAGGTAATCCTTCTAGGAAACCCACAAGTCCACACAAAAGAAACGTACAAACAAACGCACAAATCAGTTTTCTTTCAAGTCCTCAAAAATTGTCTAATCATCGATATTTCCTTGAAAAATTAGACTAATCGTTTGGGGTTCTTTTTGTTTGGTTTTACAGGTTGATAGTGCTAGAAAACATGGAATTTTACTTGAAGCTGTTCAAGTCCTCACGGATCTGAACCTTTCTATAAAGAAGGCTTACATTTCTTCTGATGGACGGTGGTTCATGGATGGTAAGATTTTTATTACACCAACTTTTCTTTTTTGATTTTTCATTTTGTTGCTAACGTACGCCTGGATACATGTGCACGTTAGCAGTTTCAAATCCTTTTGAAGTTCTCTTTTAATTAATCAATTAATTTTTTTTATAAATTATGTTTTGCAGTTTTTCATGTGACTGATGTAAACGGAAATAAGTTGACTGATGAGAGTGTTATTAACTACATTGAGCAGGTAATTTGTTATCATTAAATGAGTCGTTGTTAATTAGTAATTAAAAGACGGAAGTTTTTGTGGTGACTGAAGTGTGTTTCTTGTTTTGTATGTTAACAGTCGCTTGGTACCATTCATTATGGGAGAACAACTGGTTCAAACGGTTTAACAGCATTAGAACTAACTGGTACCGACCGGGTTGGCCTTCTTTCTGAGGTGTTTGCAGTACTAGCTGACCTACAATGCAGTGTGGTCGATGCTAAAGTTTGGACTCACAATGGCCGGATTGCATCCCTGATGTATGTGAAGGATTGCAATTCGGGGTCACCAATTGAGGACGTGCAACATATTGATAGAATAGAGGCACGTTTAAGGAATGTTCTAAAGGGATATAATGATATTAGGAGCGCAAAAACTGCAGTATCAATGGCAGTCACACACACAGAGAGAAGGTTGCATCAAATGATGTTTGCTGATAGGGACTATGAGAGAAAGCCTATTTTGCAGCCTATTGGTGATTCTCCGGTAGTGACAGTACAAAATTGGGCGGAGAGAGGTTATTCTGTTGTGAATGTTCAGTGCAAGGACAGAACAAAGCTTTTGTTTGATGTTGTTTGCACGTTGACAGACATGGAATATATTGTGTTTCATGCCACTATCAAAGCAGCAGGAGACGGAGCATACCTGGTATATATTAGCTTAATTATTCGGCTTAAATTTTTATTATTGTATGGATGAAACTATTAAACAGGGTTGTCTGTTTCTAGTTTACTGACTTCGTTTAATTAATTTTTGTTCTAGGAATTCTACATTAGGCACGCAGATGGAACCCCAATTAGTTCAGAGCCTGAGAGGCAACGTGTAATTCAATGCTTACAAGCTGCGGTTGAGAGAAGAGCATCCGAGGTACTTGTGCTATTCGAATTTATATGGATTTTTGCAGTTGAATTGTTTGATCATGCAGCAGTTGTTAGGTGAATATTCAAATTTCAATGAGAACATTTTTTTTTTTCATGAACAGGGTTTGAGGCTAGAATTATGTACACCTGATAGGCAGGGCCTTTTAGCTGATGTGACGAGAACATTTAGAGAGAATGGTCTTAATGTGACCAGGGCTGAGATATCCACTACAAGAGACATGGCTCTAAATGTATTCTATGTAACAGATGCAATTGGTAATGCGGCAGATCCTAAACTAATTGAATCGGTTCGTCAAAAAATTGGATTGAGTAATTTGAAAGTGAAGGAATTGCCACCATTGATTTACCATCAAGAGGCAGAAAGGGAAGATCAAACAGGAGGGGTCGCTGGGACGGTGTTATTATCACTTGGAAGCCTAGTGAAAAGGAATTTATACCATTTGGGATTGATCAGATCATATTCTTAAAGTGGGAACATAAAAGACAACTTGGTGTTAGGCAAGAGATTTGTTGTTCACTGCTCTTTTGCTGCTGGTGGCATATTCTTTGCGACAGGTTTGGGCTTGTGTTGTGTACATATGGAAAAGGTGGAGGAATTTGGTGATAGTAGAGTAGTAGTTATAGCTGGTTTGGGTTGGTGGTTGAATAGATAGAGACACAGATTGGATGCTGCTAGCAGCTCCACCCTTACTATTATTTTTTAGAGAATGCTTTGTTTGAAGGGGAAATATTTGAATTTGAAGAAGAGATGGAAAGTAAAGGGTGTTGGTAAATAGAGGTTTGCTGGGGAGAAAATTAGGTAGATCGAAAATCAACGGCTTCGTATACCCCCCGGCTCACAGTTGTACATATAACGACCCGCCTTTTAATATATTATTACTACTTTTAATGGCTGACTTGATTTATTCTCTATGCATACAATTATATCAAGTCTTATTTATATCCTTTTTCTCCACGGATGAAACAAAGTTTTTGTTTAATTACCCAGCACGTGGAGACATGAGATCCCTACAATTGTGAATGAATTAAAAGTATCCATTGCAAAAGGACTGCTTCTACTTCTAGATGCCATTTTAACCCCAATGAAAACCCGCAAGGATAATTATAGTCGGTAACTAAAACAAGTTTTGTTAAGAAAATCAAAAATTGGTGATGGCAGGAAGTAAAGAATTATGTAAATTTTCTTTTTGTAGGGGATAAGGGTTAGTGAGTCTTGAATTGCATGATAGTCGGTCACATTGGTTGTGGCCATTATATGGGTTTTTGAAGTATTTGGAAGAGTAGGTGCTTAGAATAATCTAGGTTAGGTAGCATTGACTTTTCATGCAATCTTGGCAAGCCAAAAATAGAAGTCCAATTGAATTAACAATTTAAAAGACCGATAGTTTCGTTGAAAACATGTATAGGTGGGGTTCATGAGCCATGATGTGGGTGTAAGTCACGGCATACACCGACCATCGTCCTCAACCTCATAATTAGTTGAGTTTTGTTCAAAAAAAAAAAAAAAAAAGGAAATGCCTTCTTTGAATTGTGGGTTGAAATTGGGTCATAGCTCACAATTTCTTTCAAAGTCCAAAAACCGAGAAATGCGTAGCTTCCCAACTATTCTAGGAACTTCTCGTCGTAACAGCAAAGAAAAGTACTATCTGCCTAAAAAACTTTAACCGGCGACTACAATGACAGTTAATTCTCACTTAAAAAAAATTATATTATAACTGTTTATGAGAAAAAAAAATGATGCAATAAATCAAAATAACTAAACATTGTTTAACAAAATTTCAAAAAAAAAAAAAAAAAAAAAATCTATCTACGATAATATTATTAGAAGCCGGCTAGATAAATCAATTCATTATGAGAACTAACAAACTAGACATATGACCGATCCGATTTTAGAGTGCGGTCATATGTGCAATTAATCTGAAAGGAAACAAATTATATAAAAAAAACCACTTAAATCGTAGATCCATCTTGGATTGATGAGGTTATACCACATCAGCACTTGAAAAAAAAAATAATAATACAATCATGCTTGCAAGTTCAAAGTAAAAAACGAAATAAAAAATATCAATCATAACTCTTAACTAGGGGTGAGCAAACGGTTTGGTTAATCGAAAATCGAATTAAACCAAATCGTATTAAGGTATTTAGTTCGGTTTTGAATTTAAAATTTACTATTTATAATCAAACCGAAAAATCGAAATTTATTTCGATTCGGTTCGGTTTTTTTAAAATTCGGTTCAAACCGAAAATCAAAATTTATTCTTAAATTTCTATTTCCGATTTCGATGATTTCTCTTCTCATTTCCAATTCCAAATACCAAAATACCAAATCGGCAAATCCCTAACCCTAAGTCTCTAACTCCCTAAGCGTCGCCGCCGCCGCCTAGCCGCTTCTAGCCGTCCGGGCGTCCTCTCTCACTCTCGCAGTCCTCACTCGAGAGTCGACTCGGCATCGCTTTATTCCCTTCTCCGGTTCTCCTTTTGTCCCGCACTCTCGAGTCTCAATCTCCACTCCACTCCTACGGTGGTAGTCCGGCCAATCCTCCGAGTCTTCGACCTTTAAGCTCCGGGCTCCGGCTTGCTCACCCATCGCCGATATCACGGAGTCACGCCTCTCGAGTCATGGTCACGGTCACGGTCATCCACTCATCTTTATCATAGTCAAGTCGCATAATCTTTTTTTAACAAACAAAGAGTGAAAGATCAAAGATGTTCGATTCTTTTGTCTCTATTTTTAATGCAGTTGTAATAAATTCTTAGATATGCTTTGTGCCCAGTTTATGGGAGAATCAAACATAAGGTTATCTTAGAAGTTGTGTTCTTCAATTGATGGTTTGGTTTATGCATTTGGAGTGTTCGGATGTTTTGATCGGTCTTGTTGTGAATGTTGTCTTGATTTTGTTGGATATTTCGGTATTGGAGATTAGAGATAATTATGGATTTATGTCAATATTTGGTGTTAATTTTAACATCTAGGTACTTATGATTGCTGCAAAATTAACTTCTCTTTACGATTGTGCTTGTGAGCTCGTCTTCATTTTGTTGAAAATTTGGAATTGTTTGAGTTTTGCAAAGCGTGGAATCTGTCTTGGTGCTTATCGGCGACGGAGCCTACTACCGGCAGCCGGTAGGCCTACTTCCTTGGTGCCTCCCTGCCTAGCTAGATTGCTTCTTTTTTTTTTGTGCTTAAGCTTAAGGACTAAGGAGTGTGAAATGTGAAGCTTAATACTCTTTTTTCTATGTGTTTATGTAGATGTTGCAATCTCAATCCGTAGAGATGAATTATAAAGCCGTGGATTCAAGCAATCCTAATCCACAATCAAGTGCAACTTCAAGTAACACTCGAGACGGTGGCAAAGGAAAGAAGAGGAAATCAATGAAGCCAAGATCGATGGTGGGATCATTTCACAAAGTTTGAAGATGACAAGGAAAACATGAAGGCTACATGTAACTATTGTGATAAAGTATTTGCTTGTGATCGTTCAAAAAATGGGACAACTTCACTTAGGTCTCATGTTTTGACTTGCAAAAAAAAAAAACCCTTTTAGTTGTATTGACTCTACCCAAACTCAATTAGACTTAAGAAAGCTTGAAGTGGGAGAAAACAATCTTACCACATGGAAGTTTGATTAAAATATTAGTAGAAAAGATTTAGTTGAAATGATCATTCTAGATGAGCTTCCATTTAAGCATATAGAGGGCAGGGGATTCAAAAAGTTTTTGTCTAATTTGCAACCTAGATTCAAGCTTCCATCTCGTTTTATAATTTTAAGAGATTGCTATCAAATTTATTTAGATGAGAAAATAAAGTTAAAGCAATTTTTGAAACAAAATAGTCAAAGAATTAGCCTTACTATGGATATAGAGACATCTATTCAAAGAATCAATTACATGTGTTTAACGACTCATTTTATTGATAATGATTGAAAGTTGCATAAAAAGATCTTGAATTTTTGTCCGATTGATAGTCATAAAGGAGTATATTTAGGTATTGCCATTGAGAAATGCTTGATTAATTGGGGAATTGAGAAGGTTTTTAGTGTTACGGTTGATAATGCGAGTTCGAATGATGTGGCAATTATGCATTTAAAAGATGTGATTAAGAATTGGGGTTATAACATCTTAGATGGTGAATTCATTCATATGAGGTGTATGACACATACTTTGAATCTAGTTGTTGTTGATAGGTTAAAACATTTTAATCCTTCAATCGTTTGTATTCGATTGGCCGTTAGGTTTGCGAGACAATCTTCGACTAGGTTGAAAAGATTTAAGGAATGCATTCAACTTGAGAAAATTGATTCTAGGAGTTTGTTATAACTAGATGTTGCTACTAGGTGGAATTCAACATACTTGATGCTAGAGTCATCTCTAAAGTTTGAGAGAGGTTTTAAGAGATATGAGCAAATTGATCCTTTATATAGGAGTGAATTTGATGTAGATCATGGTGATAATGTTATTGGGCCACCTAATGTTGATGATTGGAAGTCTTGTAAGAAGTTGGTGGGCGTGTTGAAAGTTTTTTACAATCTCACTTTGCATATTTCGGGTTCTTTGTATGTGACTTCAAATATTTATTTTGAAGAGATTTATGCTCTCAAACATGTTTTTGAAAAAATGACAACGAAGTAGGCATTTAGATGATTTTACGTTGGCCAATAAAATGAAAGAAAAATTTGAGAAGTATTGGGGGATATTAAAAAAATGAATAAGTTGATTTATATTACGACAATACTTGATCTTATGCATAAACTTGTATTTATTGAATTTTTAATCAATGAATTATAAGTGATTTTAAGGGTCAAAGAATGTCAAATATTATCAAGGAATCTATGTATGCCATGTATGATTTCTATTGTCGTTCATCAACATCTCAAGGTGAAATTGGCCAAGGTAGTAGGAATCGAGAAATAGATGTGGGTTATACAAATGAAGAAATGATTGATGATGAAGAAATTAGAATAAAAAAAAGGAAGATAATGATGCGTTTTGAAAAATACAAGTGTGATATTAAAGGTGGAGGAAATAAAACGGAATTGGATAAATATCTTAATGAAGGTGGTGAAAATAACGAGTGCTGATTTTAATATTTTAGAATGGTGAAAAACCAATTCTCCTCGGTTTCTCATCCTTTTACAAATGGCTAGGGATATATTGGCGATTCATGTTTCTACTCGTTTCCTCGGAATCGACATTTAGCACTTGGAGGAAGGGTTCTTAACTACTTTAGGAGTTTTTTGACTCCTAGCTTAGTGGAATCTCTTATATGTGCTCAAGATTGGATTAAAAATTCATCGATATCAATTATTATTGAAGAAAATTTGTAAGATGTTAAGAAAATGCAAGATGGTAATTTCTATAACTCTTACCTTTTTATTTGTTATTTATTTCCTTTATATTAATATTAAAAGTTTAATTTTTTTATTTTATAATTTTTAGAGTTACCACTTACCACTACCTCTATTACAAATGGTTGAATCTTGATGGGTTGATGACTTGATGATGTTTTGGCGTGATGAATGGTATGTGTAAGTTACTAAGTTTCTACTTTCTAAGTTTGATTTTTTATTTCGTTGTTTGTGCAAGTTTAGTCGGTAAGTTGGAATTGTAAATTTTCATTTTCATTGAACAAGAGAAGAGAACCATAGTAGGTAGTAGCTTATTGCCTCGGTGCCTCGTGCCCACCGGCGATAGGCCTACTATTGTGGCCGATAGGCTTACCGCCTTAGTGTCTCCTCGCCTATCGGCGAGTGGGCAATAGGCATACTACCTTTGATTTTCATAGCATGTTAATATGCTTTTTTAGGAGCATTGAGTGTTTGTTGGGATTTCATTCTATTGCGGATCCCGAAGGAGTGAAGGTATTGCAAATGCATAGAAATCATTTGTTTTAGGACGGGAAGAGAGCTCGTGTCTCATCCTCTTTGTTGAGAAATGAGAACGGACATTTTACCATGCTTTTGTTGTTTAATATCGATTGCACTTGTATCTAGATCTTTGTTTCATCAACAATTATTTTGCATGACTTATTTTCTTTTCCAATATATGAATGTTAAACATGTTGGGTGTTTAAATTTGAATTTAATTATGAATTTTTTTTTGGGTGTTGAATCCTTTTTAGAAAAGAAAGTGGTTACTTATTAGCTCGGTATTGCTAATTACTCGAGCTTAGGCAAAGATAAAATAAATGAATGTTTTGGGAGAACTCGTCTAAAGTCCGAAATGGAGAAGTAATGAAAAGTTCGATTAAACCGAATTATTTCAAAACCGAATCGAAATAATTTGGTTACAAATTGAATTAACAGATTAATTTTGGTTCGGTTTCGGTTTTTATTTTTTCTACTTTGGTTAATCGAAAATCAAACCGAATTATGCTTAACCGAACCGTTTAACCGAATGCTCACCCCTACTCCTAACCTACATTATATAGAGTAGCGAGTCAATACACTACAAACATATTTGTCTCTCTCTCTCTCTCTCTCTCTCTCTCTCTCACACACACACACACATATGTAAAGTTATCATTGATCTACCGATCTAATCGATAAACCGATGATTTCATCAAAGAACCATTTTTTTGGGTTATATAATTTAAAAATTAGTTTTAAATTTGAAAATATGTTACATAGAAAGGAAATTAGTTTCTTAATTTAGGTTTAAGGGTAATTTGAGAAATTATTTTCTAACGTGGACCTCCGAAAAAAATTTATAATCCAATTAATTTAAATATTCCAAATTAATTGGTAATTAATTAGGTTAAAAGAGTTTGGGCCAATTTGTTTAATTTAAAAGGCTACAAGATATTTTGATGGAAGGATAAATATGAACATTATTGGATAAGAATCAAACTTATAAGCATAAAATCCAAAAAGGCTCACATGAATTGTAACTCCTAATTTTTTAAGGATTATGAAGGAACAACCTAGAGTCCTTTTTAAACTTATTATCACCACTTCATTATCCTTGAAGGACAAGATAAACACTCTTCCTATAAATAGAAGGGAAGGTGTGGTAAAGAGAGAGCTAGCGCTAGGCATCCATGATAAAAAAGAAAAAAAAGAGAAAATATTTTTCTCCCTCCCAAAAATATGCTACCTCTCTCCCTCTTAATTAGAGTTGTCGTAAAATATCCCCGAATAGATTTCTAAATAGAAAACATTAAACAAGTAAAAAAAAAAAGTGGAGCTAGTTTTCTACAACTTCGAGTGCTTTTTGTGTGCATACTTGAATTGTATGGATTATTTATAGAGGCCGGACACTTAGACAACTCTTTTTCTACAAAGGTTAAAATTTGCACCACAAGAGATAATCATTTACTTAAGCTTTAATTCATATATGTATGATTAGTTGATTCAATGACTTGATCTTAGGAGGCTTAGATGAAGGAAAATTTATATTTTATTTTGCATCTCTATAAAATACATGATCCTTCAATTGATATCGAGTCTAAATTGAATATTTAATTATATGCTTTGTTAATTATGATTAATTACATTAATTATTAGTTTTTGATTGTAAATATGATATTTGAGAATTTTATATATGTTTTAAAATTGAATTTTGGGCTTAAAGGGAATGGGGTGCGTCGAG